TGCTAAGAACAAATTAAGAGGGCCTCATGTTTCAGTTTCTGAGTTTCTTACAAAAACAAGGCAATTCATACAAAAGAAAGCCCGCAAGAACTTTGGTATAAAAAAAGTGTGGACACTTGATAGGATAAATTATGTCAAACTGCCTAGTTGGATATTCTTAATGAATAATTTCCTGCAACAAGTTCTCCGGCTACTTCGGGCTTGGCTTCCAAACAGACCCCACAAAGCTCTTCTGTAATGCATCGTCAAGGTGAAGCTGCTCTGCGGAAGCATGTAGGGGCATCAGCGCAAAATGTTGATTCTAAGAGGTCTCGTCGCTTCAATGTAAAGAAATAACCTGCTAAATATATTACTATAATGAATGAGCCAAAATATTTCCATTAGATGGTGTTGTTTATTTATACCTTGTTTTTGTTAAATTTGTATACTCTTTTCCAATTTAAATTTAATATTAATTTCTCTTCTACCGGCAATAGCTCACATTATAAATTTTTCCCTTGACTCGGGGCAATATCCTAGACATTGGAAAAAGGATTATGTTAAGCCCCTTCTTAAGATACCTGTTCCTATCCTTCCCAGCCATTTTCATCAATTCTGCCGTTCCTCTCTAAAGTTTTAGAAGCCTGTGTTCATAAGCAAATCACTACGTTTATCTTGAAACATAACCTACTGATTTTACCATTTCAGTCTGGGTTTCGTCCAGGTCACAGCACTACCACTGCTTTAATGAAAGTTACTGAAGACATTAGAAAAGGTATGGATGAAAAAAGGTAGCAGTTCTAGTGCTAGTTGACTTTTCTAATGCTTTTAACACAGTTGATCATGATATCCTTCTTTCCATCCTATCCCATCTTAATTTTAAGCCCACTGTCTTAAATTGGTTTGCATCCTATCTTCGCAGGCGTCAGCAGTCAGTTCACGTGGGTCAAATGACCTCAGCTTGGGCTGAAGTTGAATGTGAGTTCTCAGTTTTTATAAACTTGAGAACTCAAAATCTTGATTGCTCATACCATTTGTACGCCGATGATCTGCAGCTATATGTGCATTGCGGCGTTGAAGACCTACACAATGGAATTCACAAATTAAACCAGAATTTAAACACAATTAAAGATTGGTCCTATGGAGTCTGTGTGAATCCGGTAAAATGCCAAGCGTTTTTGGTGGTAAGTAAAAGGTTGTTGACTAGGGTTAAGCAAGCAAGACTTACCTCTTATTTGCTATGATAATATTAATATTCCATTTAGTGAGTCTGTTAAAAACCTTGGCCTGTATATTAATAGCTTTCTGAACTGGAAAGTGCAGGTTATCGATTTAAGTAGGAAAGTCATTGCCACCTTATGTTCCTTGTATCGTCTCAAATATTTCCTTCCTATTCAGTCTAAACTCATGCTTGTCCAAACTCTTATTGTACCTATCTTTGATTATGCAGATGTGTGCTACCCCGACCTGTCCCAAGAACTTCTCAATAAGCTGGAGTGCTTGTTTAATAACTGTATAAGATTTATTTTTGGTCTGCGTAAGTATGACCATATTTCTCATTACAGATCTCAGCTTACCGTAAGCGAAAGGCGTAACTCCAGAATATTACTTGTTCTTTTTTCAATTCTCAATGATCCATATACGCCTTCTCACCTCAAAGAACGATTACAATATCTCTCTTTTTGGCATGATAGGGTTCTTCGATCTTCCTTTAATAACAAGATTTTATTCCTACTCATCTCACCGGGTTCTATGGTAACTCCTTCACTGTGCAGGCTGCACTTCTCTGGAATTCCTTGCCTGATGATATCAGAAAATCGCCTAACAAATACTCCTTTAAAAAGATGGTACGCGAGCATTTACTGAAGAATCATTAGAATTACAATGTAGTTAAATAATCATATTTATAAGTATGTATTAAATTTGTATTTATGTATGTACTCGTATTAACTTTGTGTGTATATATATACTTACAATCATAATCAGTTTGTTACATATAATGTGTATTCATTTTAGTTTATCTTTTTTTCTTTTCTTTTAATTGATTCGTCTACGACAAACTCTCACCACCCAATAGGTTGACTGGTAGAGAATGTCTTTAGGAATTAAGTCCGCCCTTTGTATTCTTTTTTTTCTAAGGGGACGCAATGAAGCTTAAAAAAATAAATAAATATTGGTCGTGGACAATACTGGTCGTGGACAATGCTGATCGTGGACAATGCTGGTTGTGGACAATGCTGGTCACGCTCGATTGACGATCGCAGTACCAGACATCTCGCACCTTTGACGCTTCTTCCCGTTGTCGGTCTGGGTATTTTACATCTGATGTAAACGAAATGTTAATGGCCAATAATATTTCACTCACCAGATGTCGCTAGTTGTCACTAAAATAAAGTTTTATAATAAACAATGTCAGTTAACTGAGAAATTAGTTTTAAATAAAAGTTTATCAGTTTTAAGAGTATTATAATATAGTATACACAAAACAACGACACATTGGTTAGATCTTTTATTTTCTACACATTTTCATTTTTTTAAATGTTCTACTTTTAGTTACAATATCCATAGTTTGGTTTATTCATTTCTAATGTAATTAATATAAAATATAACTAATAATGCAAAAATAAACAATAACTATATAATAATACATTTTCCTAAGAAATTATTTTTCCCACTATGAAATCTGTCAAATATTTCACCTCATTGCAACGTCGCGCCACCCTGGTGGCAGAAGAAGTTGTGGATGCCCTCGTTGCTGCACTGGGCGTAAAATTCACGGTAGGCACGTGAACAACCCGTGTCCAATCCCCATTGGCACCAACGTAATTTTTAATCACTTATTAACCACGTACTCAGCGGTGAAGCAAACAACTACACGATATGTGATCCACCAACTCGCATTGGAGCACCTTGGCTAACTACCTACTTTTCAGGCCTGTGCCCAGCAGTGGGACGTATAGGTATATTATACAGTAACTTTCTTTTATTTACTGTATATTTTATTTTATATCGTATAGTGATATTATATCCCACCAAAAATATAAATGTGAAGATAGTTTTACCCTTTTATTAATCTAATAAATAAATGACTTACTTTTTATTTGTGAATATGCTATCCATATTTAAAATTTAAACTATAAGAATCTAATGTCGGTATCGGATATTAATAATTTGTAGTTTTCAGGTTTTTCCTTTGTGTATGTCTAATAATCCCTGAAGCCTATTTAAAGTTTCTAAATCACCTAAAAGTGGCCTAGGTTTTTGATGAGTGAGTGAATCGGTGATAATTAAGTTAGTAGGTAGTAATTGAGTGATAAAAGTTATATTTAATAGACCTTAATAACGCAAGAACTTCGATAAGTTTATTTATGAAATTTGAGATTCAGGTATTCAAGGGGTCCTTATTACATTGGTTATACGGCAGTTTGTCTAGACTACTAAGCTCCATAAACACATTGCATCGAAACGTAACATCAGGTAGTAGAAGATGAATAAAATCCCTATTTAATGATAACCATATTTATTATTGTGGAAACAAATAGACTTCATACATTTATAAATAAAATTTTAAACCTAATATACATATATTTAGGTAATAATAAAATAAACACTAAAAATACATTTAAAAACTTAGCATAGCAATAACGGTTAACTAGGACAATAGTTATTAGTTACATATCATACTAAATACATCATGACTTGATTCTGAGACTAAGGACTTGAACGACATTAATTACGAGTAAATTAGTTTAATTTTGGAATTTGAATTTACTGTCATAGTTTTGACTTGGGTAACGTTTTGTTTTGGGTAACGTTTTAATTTATTGCTTTGGTTAAGTAGATTTATCAGAGACTATTAAATAATATTTTAAGAAAATCTTATCACCATGATTTGCCTACTCGTAATTTATTTCCTACGTCTAACAATAAAGAGACGACCACCATGATCAAAATAAAACTAAAGATAACACATCAAATAGTATATGATAAAAGTAAAATTAAAAATGGAATAGGTAAAACATATATTCAAATTGACACATAACGTCGTAAAAGTAGCCACAAAACAATACACGGTAGAAATACTTATACGAAAATATTTAAATAAAACGAATACGAAATACGAATATTACGAAAATATTTAAATAACAATAAAGAGACGACCATCAATATCAAAGTAAGACTAAGGATAACACATCAAATAGTATATGATAAAAGTTAAATTAAAAATAGAATAGATAAAATATATATTCAAATGGATACGTAACGTTGTAAAAGTAGCCACAAAACAATACACGGTAGAAATACTTATACGAAAATATTTAAATAGAACGAATACGAAATACGAATATTACGAAAATATTTAAATAACAATAAAGAGACGACCACCAAGATCAAAGTAAGACTAAGGATAACACATCAAATAGTATATGATAAAAGTTAAATTAAAAATGGAATAGGTAAAATATATATTCAAATGAACACGTAAAGTCGTAAAAGTAACCACAAAACAAAACACGATAGAAATATTTATACGCAAATATTTGATAAATTACAAATTTCCAGCTTCCTGTGATGATATTTAATAATTACAATAACATTTAGCAAAAATAATTAAGTCACATAATGATTTTAATTATGTGGTATTTAAATAGTTTTAAGTATGCATATAATAAAAAAATTAAATTAAGTTACTATAAAGTCTGAGGATTAACGTTAGAAAAAACACCATAATATATATTATGTAGTTTTTCCAAACTGTAGAAATAGCTTATTTACGATTTATTTATATAAAACTAAGAGCTTCGCTACCATTGTACCTATTAACTGTGTTACTCGTAACATTGAGGATTGATTTTGATGTACTAGCTCAATAGTGCCAGCTACAATACTACGTTAAACGTGCTTTGCCAGGCATTCAAGTCTGTTTTCGCCTTACAAAACATTATAGAACTTGCAGTCATACTTATTTATTAATATTTAACTACACTTTCATAGTATTTCTAAAATATAGTGTCTATTACTTAGTGTAAAGGCGTTTTATCTTCATCGATTACCAACTTTTGCGGTAACTGCCCTGACGCTAATTCGCCGTGTACCCTAACTCTATAAACGCAAGTGTAAAGAGGATGCCCCCAGTTGGAATATACTTTAAATCTCACGATATTGTAGCCTGTGGCTGCAGGATGTTTTACTTCAAAATATTGTATAGGCTTGCCTTCTTTGTCATATTCAAAGGTCCCGAAGTCATGTGGGTAGAGGTCATTACGGCTTTCCAAACCCTCTAGTTGAAATAAACGTGGTGCGGATGAGATTTCTCTGTAAAATTATAAATATTTTTAACTCACTTTATGAAATATTTATATAGTATATTATATTAGTTAAATAAAAATTGATCACTGCAATATCTGAGATTAATTTCATTCGGTTACTTATCTCAATGAAACAAAATAATTGGATTTATGCTTATAAAATATATAATGAATGATGCATAGTGAAAACTTACTTTGTTGGTGAAATATGTGGCGGAATATGCTCAACACTGACGCCAGTAACGTGGACCGTTCCCAACAGTCGTATGGTCACTTCTCCATGGGAGCCTTTAAATGCCCAACATTCACCAGGTAGTGCACCAGGGCGAAGAATTGCAGAGGCCCCGGGACATTCACGGCACAGCAAAGCACTCACAATATGGAGTACCCAGCCCACTGACGAATCATGGATCACGTATTCCTGGGTATCGCCAGTGTCCAAAATTCGGGCGCCAGCGGACTCGAGTGCATAATCTGCTATCTGTTTTAATATCGATTTTTTATTATTATTTGTGTAAGTCTTTTAACCTTACCTTTTTAAGTTACCCTTTTTGTACATATGCACCACAAAACGAGGTATTCCCAGTAGTTTTACTCTTCTTTCTACAAAAATCGATCGCTTTTTTAAACTCTAATCATGATTGCTTAGACAATGTTATATATTTAATATCTGGTAGAATCACGCTGCAGCTATATTATGGTGCCGGCTTGACCGGGGTAGGACCACGCTTTCACAGACCCCGCCCGCCGTAGCAAATTATATGCACCCGTACAAGCGTAGCGACTGAGGTTGGTCGGTGGTCGTCGACCAATAAACCAAAGCTGTAGGGGTGACCATGGGTGGCTGCGGTTTGCTGCGCAATGGTGAAGGGGCTACAATTCCCGCAGCGCCGTAGCTGTTTCAGAAGTCACTTAATAAATAAATACTCATAAACTATACATTTCCGCAAGGGGGAAAGAAAGTCGGGGCTTCACCTGCACCCACCCCCTCTCCCACCCCCCCTCACAACTCCTTACGTAAGTACCGGATGTCTATATACAGTTTTATCTACCAGCGCCAAATAGCAGCTCAATGCTGGCATGTTTCGTATGGTGAGTGCAGAGAACTGGAGACCCTTTTTACTGGAAACGAGGCATTTTATCTCAATCCTCAGAGGTGACAACGCAGGACCACGCTCTCACAGAATACGACCTAAGTATTAGTATTTAAATATTTTAAGAATCAAACTTATTGCGGTTACCTGTCGGTCATAGTCCCGTGAGTCTAATGCTTGACGCGGGTTGAGGCGCGAGGGCTCGAGGGCATCCTTAACTCGCCCCGTAGCTGCTGCTGCCGCCGGCAATGCCGACGACATTCGCTCCAGTTCATTACGGATGCGCTCGTGCTCACGGTTCATCTTCAATTAAATAATGACGGGTAATTTTTTAGGTGAAGCTATGTATATCACACCTTTAAAAAGACCTTTATTTTACCAAACTAAACATCCTTCTGGCATCGCTACTTTTAAAATAAATTTTACATTGATGACGTAAAAAATAAAGTAGATTTGATTATATTTTTCTCACATTTTGATATTTATTGCAAATAGCACCTTGAGATGGAACAGTTAACACACACTTTTACTAATAGGCGATGGTAGCCACATTCGTCATACTTGCGAACAAACGCAGCTTGTGAGGGCTGGTCTGCTCGGGTTCGCTATGCAATGATGAGCTACAAATATTTACGAGAAAAGGCGTTTTTGAGTGCATTTCATTTCTACTTCTGGATCTGTGTTTTGATTACCCTGTTATCATTGTCTGCCGCAAAGCAGCAATGCGTGCACTGCTGTTTTTTAGTTCGATGCATAAGAGAGCAATTATAATTAGGTATTTTTTAGTAGCGCACTTCCTCCTAATCTTAATAGGTGAACATTTATCTATCCTTTGTATGAAGTTAGTTGCAAGTCTCCAAATCCGAAGCTGAAGTAGTCAGTTACCAACAAGTTGATAATTGACTACTTCAGATTTGGACTTTTGGATTTTTTTACTTCAGCTGGTGTAATGTATATATTACACATGGTCGAGCAACGCTGCAGCTATAATATGGTTGTAGCACGAATGTGTCGGCTCCTACGCGGGCCCCGTCTTTGCCCACGCAAACCCTAACATTTTAAATGAACTCCAAATAGTTCAGAACCTATTCTGTCCTCGAGCTGCGAACGCACCGTGGTACGTTCGTAATGCCGACCTTCATCGGGACTTAGAGCTCCCAACAATTCAACAATTTCTTAAAAAACTCTCTGAGAACTTCTTCAAAGCCTCAGAGTCGCACCCAAACCATTTAATTCGTGAGGCAGCTTCTTATGCAGCCCCACCCCCCTCTCGCTATCGTGTCCGCAGGCCGAGGAACTCTCTCTCGGACCCGCCTAATAAACTTTCAAATGACCTGAACTGTCTCCTGGCGGCTCAGGCCAACTCTAATTAAATAAAATTATTGTAATATCTGACATTAATTTGCCTTCGTAGGCACTCCCTCAGCGGCACTTAGCCGCCTGCGCCCTCTTTTCCCAAAAGAGGGTCGCTCATGATAAGGCACAATAGAGCTTAATCAGCCGGTTGCCTGTCCCTAAAGGCGGTTTTTTAGGGGGTATCACTTAGGGTCCCCGGTAGGACAGTGAGTCCCCCATAACCACGATAGACCGGCTATCGTGGTATGCGTAATGCATTTTCCGCCTCCCTACGTACAGGGTAGCCCTTTAATTGCTTCGGGCGCAAAAAAAAAAAAAAAAAAAATGTGTCGGCTCGCCCGGAAAAGGACCACGCTCTAACAAAATACTGCTATATTTTGTATGGCGAGTGTAGAAAACAGGAGACCCCTTTTACTGAAAACGAGGCATTAGATCTTAATCCTCAGGTGTGGTAAAATATGAATTTTGATTCTTGTTCGAGGATAGATGTAGATGCCTGTGGGCCACAGCAAACACTTACCATCAAGCGGATTGTGTGGGCTCGTTTGTCAAACCTTATCGATGTTCTACAAAAAAAGTAATCTAATTTTTGATTTTTTAATCTTTTATAAAAAAAAACAATAATAAACTAAATTTACTTAAATGGGAAACCAGTTTTTCAGGATGTCTTGCAATTGTGACTATGCTCGATAGGCAGATAGGACACCACCCCTCGCACCACAGATGCAAACGCTTATAACTAATAGATATTCAGTCTGCCAATTTTTGAGATTTTATTTTGTTATCTATTTGATACTTTTTCACTTTTTTTAAACAACTCCCACAGGATTTTGTGTTGGGTCGCGGAGACATTTTACGTAAACATATCCACATTTTAAACGATTAAGATGGTACATGCTACGTGTGAAAATAAAACATGGATAAGCAAATAACCTCAGATAGACCATGAGTTAGTTGCATAACGACGTATTTGATATCTCCAAAGTCTCCTTCAATTGAGTCCTGCGTACCCCAAAGGTATGCATACACGTGAAGCCCCAGAAGCAGTGTGAGCGCAACGCACACAAACGAACGGAAGACATTACGAAAGCAGGATTGATCCTCCGTTTCATAATCCATCAATTTTTAGATACTGTTAATTTTTTATTACTATACTATCAGTTTATTAAGTAAATTACGCTTTTTTATTATCTGAACATACACTATTACGCGTTATTTTATGAAGTTTTTTGTTAGCAAGCTCAGCAAGCCAATATAATTAAAACTTCTGACTTCTGACAAGTGATGACTACTTCATAGTCTTTTATTTTTTTATTTTATACTTATTTAAAAGGTGTTAAAAAAGAAGTTTATGAAATAAATAAATCCGATAGCTTTTTATTAAAATTATGTCAACCTAAACGAAGCCTATATTTATGACAATAAGCTTGTGTCTGCAGTGATAATTATGATATTAAATTTGAACGACTTTTAGCTCGCTTGTAACTATCTATAATTTATATTAATATAAATTATTAATTATTAAAAATATAAATTATTTTTCATGATAATTTATACCTATCATGAAAAAAACCGGACAAATGCGGTAGGATACACGCCCTGAAGGTTCCTTAGAGGCTTAATTATATATTGTGCAGGTTGTAGCTTAGTGTGTTAGTTCCTCTATAATACATGTTAAAGCTGGCACCGATCATTGTTCTATCGATTTACGAGTTAATATCATCAATAGCAGTTTCCTAAAGTGGGTTCCTCGGAATCTAAGAAGAATTTAAAACTCACCAACGTTCCGACTACTCTATTTACACGAAACTATTTATTTCTACTTCTTAAATAATTCCACAGTTAGGTAAAAGTAGTATTTTGAAATAGCGCAAAATATTTGATGAGAAGAATCCTACTGTTGTGTAGGTACCACAGAAATAGTAATAAAAAGACAATAGAAATGAATTAGCTCTCGATTACTTCCAAAACCGATAACGCATATCTTACCGTATTATAAACATACACAATGCAAAATTATATCTAATGTGTCACATTACATTGCTTTGCGAGTTTGTCAACGTCGCGTGCGTCGAGTGTTACGGTAGAACAAAAGCAGTAATGGTAATTGTACAATACGAAAAGTAATAAATGAACGTTTACAAAGGTAAATATCACAGTAAAGTATTCATCTACATGTAAATTAGTTAAAACAATGATAATTAGTAAATAATCAACTTACCGATGAAATGTTATGCCTTTATTAGTTGAATTACACGTCCTTGATGAGTTTTACAACTGATTATGCTGCAGGTCACCATTATAAATTTATAATAACATAAATTCACGTACGACGTTCCCCGCGCAACTAAATCACAAAATGGTGAATGATTTTCCTCAACACATCATAGGGGCGACAAGGTCGAACGTCTATGCCTCTTCTATTGCATTATTACGATTTCTGTGGTAGGTGCTAAGGTATTTGCGGGGACTATATCGTGGCGCGGGTGCGCGGTGCGGCTGATTGTGTCTCCCATCCACGGTTGCTTGTTTTGAGTTACGGCGCCTCTACACGTTGGCCAACACAGTGGCGAATGTAGTGGCCAATAGCATTGGCCAACGTGTAGACGGGGTGTTTGGGCTTCATTGGTATGTATTGGGACGATGGCCCACAAGTTGGCGCAAGATCCGTATGGTGTCGGTTTTTTACAAAAGATCAAAGGATTGTTGGCAGAGTTTGGTCGCCGCGTCCACACGTTGGACTTGGATTTAGTTTGCTACAAGCTCCCAGAGTGATAACACGCATTTGATTTAAATTTTATATTCAAGCTTTGTAGAATGGATGGAACAATTACCAGCCTTTTAGTGCCAATTTCAACTTTAAACATTCCTACTACTTTAGTTAGTGCGATTTAATTATTTTTAAACATTTGTTTTAATCGATTAACTATTTATCAAAAAAATAAAGAACATTTATTTACAATCAGATTATTACGAGAACAATTTTAAAATGAAAAAAAAAATGAAGCACGTCGTTTATACGTGGTAGAACCATGCACTTATATTAGAAGTATATATAGTTTTAGCACGAATGGGTTGGCTCAACCGGGGAAGGACCACGCTCTCACAGAATATCAGCGTAATATAGTAGCTTAATGATGCTGTGTTTCGTATAGTGAGTGTAGAGAACCAGAGACCCTTTTTAAAGTAAACGAGGCATTTCATCTTTGTCCTCACGGTTGACAACGGATCTGCATCTTGATTCGTAATCGAGGATAGATGTAGATGTCTGTGGGCCACAGCAACCACTTACCATCAGGTGAACTGTGTGCTCGTTTGTCACCCTATCCTATAAAAATACGTCGACTGCTTATAATTCAATCGTGCAAGTTTTCGAATCATCATCATCATTACAGCTGTTCACAAGTCCACTACTGAACATTCTCCTCCACAGACTGCCGCAAAGCATGGTCCTGAGCCACTTTGCTCGTCATGAGTTTTTCATTTATGTTCTAAGTTATAATTAGTACCTATTATCAAGTCAGTTTTAATTATATTTATTGCTATTGTTTTTGTCTTTCTCAAAAAATAATTAAATTACCAAATAAATTATAAGGTGTTTTTTATATACATCAAATGTCTGATAGAAATGCAAGTACATATTTTGCTAAACTTTAAAATCAAAACCCAATTTTAAAACATAGACTAATCGATTATAACTCCTTTAACTTTAAAATAAGTTAAGTTCTTATTAATTGTATTTATTCCAGTTTATGATGCATGTAAATAATAAATAAACCTAATCGTATATCGTATTTCTATTTACAGCCCCATTAATATCCACTATTCTTTTATAATTATTTTATAAAAACGTAACCCCCACACTTGGATTTTCTCCTGTATCGCGGAGGCAGCTTACAAACATAAATTGCACAAGGACACACATCCAGACCCGAAACAATTATTTG